GGTTCCGGAGTAGGTTCAGGCGTGGGCTCAGGCGTAGGCGTTGGGGTCTCTGAACTTGGTTCTGGTGTTGGAGTGGGTGTCTCTGAACTGGGTTCTGGAGTAGGTTCAGGCGTGGGCTCAGGAGTGGGTGTTGGTGTCTCTGAACTGGGTTCTGGAGTAGGCTCGGGAGTAGGCTCAGGTGTAGGCTCCGGCGTAGGGGTCGGTGTCTCTGAACTAGGCTCCGGGCTTGGAGTTGGAGTAGGCTCTGGAGTGGGCGTTGGTGTCTCCGACGAGCTCTCTGAGGTTAGCTCAGGAGTTGGAGTAGGCTCTGGAGTGGGCTCAGGAGTGGGTGTCGGAGTCTCTGAACTGGGCTCTGGAGTAGGCTCTGGAGTAGGTTCAGGCGTAGGCTCAGGAGTGGGTGTCGGGGTCTCTGAACTAGGCTCGGGGCTTGGAGTTGGAGTAGGCTCCGGTGTAGGAGTCGGTGTCTCCGAGGGGCTCTCAGACGATGGCTCAGGAGTCGGGGTAGGCTCCGGTGTTGGCTCTGGAGTAGGTTCAGGCGTAGGCTCAGGAGTGGGTGTCGGGGTCTCTGAACTAGGCTCCGGACTTGGAGTCGGAGTAGGCGTGGGCGTCTCCGACGAGCTCTCCAAAGTTGGCTCTGGAGAGGGTGTAGGAGTAGGCTCAGGGGTCGGAGTAGGTTCCGGCGTAGGCTCAGGTGTAGGCGTGGGCGTCTCCGACGAGCTCTCAGAACTAGGCTCCGGGCTTGGTGTAGGTGTAGGCTCAGGCGTGGGCGTGGGCGTCGGGGTAGGCGTCTCCGACGAGCTCTCAGAAGTCGACCCAGGAGTCGACGAGGGAGTCTCCTCAACCGACGACGATGACGACGACGACAAAGAAGAAGAAGAAGGCGTTTCAGAAGGAGTGTAAGTGCCCGAGGGCGAAGCAGCCTCCGACGAGGAAGACGGCGACTCAGCAGGACCACTTGACGTCGGGATCCCCTCACTGGTCGAGGACGAGGGCTGAATCTCTACAGACGTAGACGACGTCGCCGGAGTAGGGCTTTCAATCGATGACGAGAAGGAAACAGTTGAAGAAGACGAAGCGAATGAATAGTCCTGTGTGGACGACGAAACCGAAGGCTCGGCGCTCGAGGAGACTGTCAATACCGTGCTTGCAGACGTACTCACTCCAAGACTTGTCGTCGAGTAAGGAATGGTGAATGCCGTCGAAGTACCTGATATGAGAGAAGACGGCCTCTTCCGACACCGCCTGGTGCGATGAGCATCGGCGACGGCCAAAGAAACCGCAAGAGCAGCCAAAAGCCCCCTCATCTTGCCAGACTTATGTGATTACCGTCAAACCCAAGGTCAAGAACAAGTCCACCGATCAGTCGAACGTCGAAGCAAACGAGAGACAAGAAACGCAACCCAAAAACAAAACGCCCACAACCGTCCAGGACGCAGACCAATATATCTACTATCCTCCACAAACCTTCAACCCTAACCAAGTTCTCCCTCTCCCTATCCATCATGCCGTGGGGCCCGCAAGCGTGGGAAAAAGTACAGTCAGGCTGGCGCAGACGACAACACACGATATGGCTTAACCCTCACGGACTCTGTTCGCAGGCCGTTCCAGACTCCGTACCTGAAATGAACGGCGGCGCCGCCAAGTGGGCACCACAACAGAACCCTAATGCGGAAATCGGTTAGCGCTGCTCCGATTCGGCTAAGCCTTGCCCGCCAAGCGACGACCTCGTGGAAATTGAACGTCCGACGACAGGTACCTTTCGCTTATTGAGGCTTTTCGGCGTGCGGGCTTGAGGCTTGCGGGCTTGAAGGCAGATGGCAGGTCCAGTCTCGCTTGGAGTATTGGATCCAGAACCCTAATTAATGCCGTGGTCGACGACGACGCCTGTCGATAAGGGAGACTTCGGCACCGCCGTGCCACGCTATAGTATCATACAATCTCGGATCTGAAAAAATCTGCATGACCACGAACCACGAGTATGGCTCTGGACTTCCGAGCACGGTACCCGCCCCCAGATCTGTACCACGGGCCAGTCCAGCTGTTTAAATTGGCCGTGCCTGCATCTGCGTGCCGTTTCGGTATCGGAGCTTAGGACGAGAGCGTCCAGAACAGAGTACATGGTAGCCGAGCGAGTACTCCTTATAGGCGCGACCACCTACGGCTCTATAACTCCACAGTCCCATCAATCCGGTCTATAAACCTAAGAACATACTTTTCCATACTAATTAATCGTCGTCTTCCTTCTCTAAGCTCGTGTTATCTTCCCGAGTATGCATCGCCAAGACAGCCCTCTCTATTACATTCCCGTCTACTCCCTACCGACACGCTGTAGGCATACATATGCAAAAACACGCTAAAGAAGGGTATATCGAGGCACACACCCAAAATACCTACGAATCCAGTCCATTCTACTCTTCCATCTTCTGGTCTCTGGATATTCCATCTCTAGACATTCTCCTTGGATAGATTCGAGAAGCTTGAGGATTACTGGTAGCTGGCTGGCTAGTCTGGTCTGGTCTGGTCTGGTCTGGTCTGGCGTGGATACTCGTCTGTTTTGACGCTCAGGTTTCTTTACCTTGTTCTTACTTTTTTTGCGCCCAATCCCCAGCGCCCAAATCTCTACGTTTACTTCTCTACGTTTACTTCTCTGCGTTTTAATTTCATCTACGTTTTTGATCCTCTTGCGTTTTAGTTCTCTGCGTTTTTAAATTCTCTCTACGTTTTAGTTCTCTGCGTTTAATTCTCTACGTTTGAATTTATCTACGTTCAATTCTTTGCCTCATTATCTTCCACGTCCCCCTTGCCTTCACGTCCCCTTGCCTTCCCGTCCTCTCGCCTTCCCTTCCCTTCCCTTCCCCGTCCTTCTCTTCCCCCTCCCCTCTATTTTCGCCCAAGAAAGAATCACCCGAGAAGCGAAGAAACGAGACGGAACGAGACGAGACGGGTCGTGCACGCGCACGTGCAAGAAATGGGAGGGGAAGGAAGGAAGGAAGGGGGTCTGTTATAATATATAATATATACGTGTAGATTGTATGGTTGTATTGTATAGTATATTGTATTAGAATTACGACATTTTTTTGTTTGGTCCTCCGTCTAATTCATCTACGGGTTCCGCTTTGCAGTAGCGGGTTTTGTTATCGATTACTCGTGTGTCCGGTTTCGTTGGGTCGTTGAGCGTGCGTGTAGGCGTGTAGGCGTGTAGACGTCCGTGTAGACATCATGATGTAGGCATGAGGCATGTATACCATCCCCTTCTCTTCTCTTCCTTTCTAATCTTCTCTATTCCCCCCTTCCCCCATTCCATCCCCCTACCAAACACCACAACCCCAACCCCCCTCAATCACAGTGCACAAACCCATCAGAATGCGTATGACACGACTGCAACACACACAAAATCAGCACTCACCCCCAACCAACAAGCACCAAACAAACAAACTAAACACTCACCGCATCAGCACTCTGCGTCACAGACGGCGTCTCCACCGCCACAGACGACACCACCCCCGACGGCGACGGCGTCGCAGCAGGCGCCCCCTCCTCCTCAACAGCCGAGTAAACCCCATGACACCCGACCCCAGGCACAGAAATATCAAACCCATAAACATCGACAGCAAAAAGCTGCAACGAATCGCTATTCAGCACCGCCTCCTCCGGCCTCTCACGCGCCAGTGCCAGCATCTCCGGGTAGTCCTCGGCGAAATGGCCGACGAGGCCCTCGCTAATGCGGGGCACGTGCAGGACGCGGTGGAGGAGGTCGGTGGCGAAGAAGGCGTTTGCGGGCGAGTTGGCGACGGTGTAGCCGCGGCTGCAGAGGGCGTTGAGGGACCAGCGGATGCCGGAGAAGGAGCGTGGGCAGATGACGGTTTCTTGGGTGGCGTTTGAGCCGCGCCAGTGGCCGGCGTATGCTGGGGGTTTGTGTTAGGGGAATGGTGAAAAGGGGGGTGCATGGTGAAAAGGGGGGGCACGGGACAGGGAGACCTACTATCAGGATGCAGAGCACAGTTGCCGTCGGGGTCGTCGCAGCGGAAAAGGGTGTCGGCGCGGTCGGCGGAGAGGATGCGTTCGTACCAGCCGATTGGGCCGGCGGTGGGCGCCTGGCCGAACCACTGGGAGTACTGGGCGGAGCTGTTGCCGAAGCGGAGGATGTGCTGCTTTGCGTGCTGGGCGAGGAGGAGCATTTCGTGGAGGGCGTCCTGGAGCTGGGCGCGCTCGGTGGCGTTGCAGGAGCTGTGGATGGGGAAGTCGGGCGTGGCGCCGTGGTCCCAGGGGGTTGGGGTGGGAGCCGGTTGGTTTGGGGGGGTGGTGATGGAGGGTGCTTGACGGGCGAGGAGAGGGGAGGCGGTGGATGCGCCGGTGAGGGCGGCGAGGAGGATGGTGGTGGTGGTGGTGGTGGTGAGGGAAGGCATTGTGGATACTGGGGAGCGAGGGGGAGTTGAAGATGGAAAGATATCAATCGCGGACCTGAAGGATGTCAATCGCGGAGGAGCCCAAGATGCTGCTGGAGTTCTGTTTGACGGGCGAACATGGCCGTCTTATGAAGTGCCGGCGAGGTACTCATGATTGTTCACGTCTTGACTCGACATCGCCGTCCGCGGTCGTGTACACCCCCATGCCAACATCACGATAGTCTTGGAAGAACAGCCTTCTTGTCATGCTTACGGCAAGGACGAAGCCACTTTCAGAGGATGTTGTGACGCCACAATAAGAAACTTTTCACCGTCACGGCCCACCTGAGTACTACCGAGATGCGGCGTGAACGTCCGAACAAAAAAACGTGGTAAGCGAACGGTTACATCGACTGCAAGGTGCTCAGAATGGCTTGGAGGTGATTCGAGAAGTCGGATGGATTTTGTTGTTTTGGGGAATCGTCGGCTGTGTTGATTCGCCAGCTCGGGGCCTGAGTGGAGAATTGTTACTCTATAATTACCTACCACAAACGAAGGGCAACGGCGGCAAATCAGTAAACCAGGACGGAAGGATTTCAGCGCGGATAACTGCGTAGTTCCAATGTCTGTCCATCCATGACCTCGTCCGAGACAGTTCCCATGGCCTCGTCCATATGCGTGTGTGGTTGACCGTGTTTTGCCAAGCTCCGCCGAGAGATATCTGGACATGGCTTGGCACAGTACTCAGCTTGGCCATCACGGGACAGTGGTGGATTCCGCCGCTCCTCCCAGTGCAGCAAGACACTTTTTTACGTGAACAATTCCGCCGATCGACGCCCTCGCCGCCTTGAAGACGTCCGTGGGCAGGTTGACAGGCCCGGAATACGCGAGGCCTCCTGCTCGTTTGGGTTAAGAAGAACAGCCCTACGTGGGGGAAGGACGGATCAGGATTCTGTGTTGCTGCTGCTGCTGATGCTGCTGATGCTGCTGATGCTGCTGTTGCCTCTCTCCCCGTGCCTCCTTTCTGGACTTTTGCCTCTTCCTCCAATTCCATGGCGTGTAGGATGCTGAGCAGTGACCTCTAAGACATGCCAAGAGTCACGTTTCGGCCCATGATCCATCAAGGTTTTTGCCTTGAGCCAGCATAAGTCCCGGACGGCGTCCTCTACGCGATATATGGCCTTGTCTTCTTCGTCTTCTTCTTCTCCCGATATCTCCCATCATCTCTAGACACTCGCCATGTTGCACAACAGTCGATTATTGCTGCGAGGCTTCGTTGCCGCGTGGCTGGGCTGCGCGGTCTGCGCGCAGACAGAGGCACCGGCGTCGTCGACCACGGCTCCAGAGATTCCGACGGCCGTGTCCAGCTGCCATGCCCATGGCGCAACGCAGTACTGCGAGGCTGGGACGGAAGAGTACCCCATCCTGATGGAAGCCACGCCGACGGGAGAGTTGCCGTCGGAGTACACTGGCTGTCACGCACATGGAAGCGATGCGTACGTTGCGTGTGATCTGTCCGTCTTGTGTGCCCGGGCTAACTGTGCACTTCAGGTTCTGTTTCGCTCCGGATGGCAGTGAGGTCCAGTTGGTGATTGAGACATCCGGGGCCGAGGAGCCGGCGGATGAGCACTCGCACGGTGGAGAGGAGGAGGGTAACGGCTGTCACTTCCATGCCGGGGTTGAGTAAGTCGGCTGAAGCCAGGCCGGTGATGTCAAGGACTAATGAACTCTGACAGACACTGCCCTGGACAAGAAGAGGTGTCGTGTGAGCGCACGGACAGGGACTACAACGTGCCCCTGAGAATCGGACTGCTGTTTGTGATTCTGGTGACGAGTGGTATCGGCGTGTTCTTGCCGATTGCCATTGCCAAGTTCAACCTCCCGTTCCAGCAGGGAAGCCTCATGGTGGTCAAGCAGTTTGGCACCGGAGTCATCATCTCGACGGCATTTATCCACGTAAGGCTTGGGCTTGGAACTCGGAAAGTCTGCTTTGCTAACCAGCAGTCCAGCTATTCACGCACGCACAACTGATGTTTGCCAACCAATGTCTCGGGGAGCTGAGCTACGAGGGCACCACAGCCGCCATTGTCATGGCCGGCATCATCGTCTCGTTCCTGATCGACTACCTGTCCCACCGCGTCGTGTACTGGCGCCGCAGCCAGGCAAGCGACCGCGACTCGGAAGCACCGTCGACAAACGACGGCAGCGACACAGCGGCGAAGAGCTCAGTCACAAGACCCGACACCAGCACCGCCCTCGCGCCATCCCACGGCCACGGACACGCAACGCCAGGCGAGTGGCAGACGGATACGCTGACGGTGGCATCTCTCGAAGCCGGAATCCTGTTCCACTCGATCCTGATCGGACTGACGCTCGTGGTGGCGGGCGATTCGGGGTTCATCACGCTGTTCATCGTGATTGTGTTTCACCAGATGTTCGAGGGACTCGCGCTCGGCAGCATGATTGCACAGGTCCCGTCCGGCCTGCTGGCGACGTGGAAGAAGTGCGTGATGGGGCTTGCGTTTACGGTGATTACGCCGATTGGCATGGCGATTGGGATTGGGGTGTTGAATCACTTTAATGGCAATGACAGGAGCACGATTGTGGCGATTGGCACGCTGGATGCGTTCAGCGCGGGCATCCTGGTGTGGGTGGGCGTGGTGGAGATGCTGGCCAAGGACTGGATGGAGGGCCCGTTGCTGAATGCCGGAGTGGTGCGCACGCTGCTTGCGGGCACGAGTCTGGTGGCGGGCCTGGTGGTGATGAGCGTGCTGGGGAAGTGGGCGTGAGGGGGGTGGTGAAGGTTGGATAGTTGATATAATATGGTGTGGTAGTGTGGATTGGTAGGTGTGATTAGGTAATGCATGGCTATCTTGTTCTAATGGTATAGAGTGGCCTCAGGTGTACGTAGCCTCAGGCAGGTATTAGTAGCCTCAGGTATGAAGAAGTGCAGCCTCAGGCACTCCGCTCCAGACTCCCACTTGACCTGACCCAACCTAACAGGAAATTATTTCTCCCACCGTCGACTGAAGACGATGCAAGACAGCGCGCTTACATAGTCCTGCCTGCCTCAGGCACCGACATACCTCGGCACCGATATACCTGGCAGCTGCAAAGGCTAGCATCCACAAAATGGAGGTATAGGCAGGTAGCGTGTCTCGCGCATATATATATATATATATATATCCTGTATGTGTACATGACCACCTAGGTACTTTCGGATATGAGATGGCATGAGCTGCATGCATCAGTCGTGGCTGTGCAGGTCAGTGTATACGATGTAATGTGGAATATAGAATGTAGGATGAGTAGTGTAGACAGTTGGGTTAGTCAGGTACGAGATACGAGGGCAAGGTTGGCTTGGGGCGCATTGATTGGTTGTGTAGTATAGGTAGGTAATTAGCCAGGACGGAGAGGGGTGGATATAGCTCACAATTAACAGCAGTACAGCAGTACCGTTAAAGTGAGGCAGCAATGAGCAGCATCAATGGCATGATAGACAAGGTGTATGTACAGCATGTATAATATGTTGCTATTGTATATGATCGACGATGCATGGGTTTATAGTGTAGTAGTACGGCAGTACAGGACATATGTAGTAGGATGGCGTGATGGGGGATAGACAGACAGTATTATGCATGCAAGTGTGGCGTGCACGGGTCAATCGAGCGGATCGAGGGAAAGAGGAAGAGGGAGGGATCATTAGTGTGTGTGTGTATGTGGCACAGGTGGAAGGAGCAGACGAGAGAAGTCGAGAGCCGGGCGCGGCATTAGTCGGCGTCGGCAGTACTCCGGCAGTACTGTGCGTGCGTGTGTGTCTGTGTGTGTAGGCGCGGCAAATGGGTCAAGAACAGCTGCGAGTGCTGATGTGCAATTTCCCACAAACCGCTCCTATTGGCTGGCGACTCGCTAAACCCGTCGATTGGAAACGGCGGACGGTGGTGGAGGCGTGCGCGCTGACAGGACAGTAATTAATTAGTAGATATGGAAGGTACGTGGATGTGAGGCAGGAAGGTGCAATCAGTCAGTCAGTCAGTCAGTCAGTCAGTCACTGCCAGTCGGTCGGCCTGACTGATATAATAATTGCCTCAGCTCTCTCTCTCTCTCTCCATGCAATGTGTGTGTGGGCGTGCGTGCAGAGTGGATGGTTTGTGGGTTGGTTTGTGGGAATGTGGAGTGCGTGCGGGCGTGTGCGTGCGTGCATACGTGCTGCTTGGGGGCGGGCGGCGTGGACGATGGATGGGATCAATATAGTGATATGATTGTGATTGTGATGCCGAGAATTACGAATTACTGTAATGGTTAATTAGCCGCGATATACACACTGTAGCACGGGGAGAATAGGACCGGATAATAGGACCGGATAATAGGACCTGACTGCCAGCCTGCCTGCCAGCCAGTTGATATCAAATCCCCTCTCCTCTCCCGCCCGGCACAGTACCACCGTCTCCTTGCATGCATGTGCAGCAATCGATTGTGTTGGCGATTCGTGTGTGTGTGAAGCGTGTGAAGAATGCTGCGAATGCTACTACTCTACTTCCTCCACGCGCCGGCACAGGCACAGTAGACAGTAGACAGATACCCTGGCTGTAATGTATATGTGTATGTGTGCATGTGTGTGTGTGCCTGTGCCCCGTGCCCTGTGCGTGCCTGGCTGCCTGGCTGCCTTGCCCGTCCTTGTCTCTCTCAACTTTGCCGACCGCCGCCCCATTTACTTCTCCCTCGCTCGTCCGTCTCTTCTTGTCTCTCCCTCCAACAACACCAACACAACACCACCGCCCGTTTATTCACTTCTCTCTCTCTCCCTTCCACCCCCTTCTTGGTCCTTGATCCTGTCGCTCGTTACTTCTTGCCTGCTTCCTTTCGTTCGTCCTCTTTTTTTTTTGGGACCTTTACAACAACAATACACGCTGTGCGCTTTGCTTGTCACCACTACTTCTCTCCCACTCCTCCACTTCACCTACAAACTCACTGTCAGCTTCAATCCTCCGACTCGTTCACGTCCACGTCCAACACTGCCATCGCCATCATCATCGCCTATTCTTCGCCGTCTACCTATCCACATGACATCTCCTTGAACTCCATAGACACTCTACGCCAGCTGTCGTATTTTGTCCATCTCGCGCTCCATCAACCCCACAAAGCGATCGTCGTTCACCATGACTGCGACAAGCCCCGGTATGTTTGCCTTCTTCTCTACTGCTTGTCTACTTCTCGGCCCTGCTGACTCCTGCCCAGAGGTCGCGCGTGTCTTGCGGACAATCTTCCGACGCTGTATCGAGTGCGAAAACGTCGCCCTGAGCTGTCCTTCCTGTCCCACCGGCCAGATCTGCTCCATCACCACAAAGACGTGCGATACCTGTCCTGGCGCCATCTGTATCGCCGACCCCAGCGCCAGCAGCAACAATGCCGCGAACAAAAAGTCGGGGCCCAATGTCGGCGCCATTGCCGGCGGTGTTGTCGGCGGCATCGCTTTCATCGTGCTTGCTACCTGGCTGGTGTGGAAATTCTGCATCAAGCGTCGCCAACAAGAGATGGACGACGCCGCGGCGTGGGACCAGACAAACCTGCCGCCAGAGAAACGCAACACCCAGTTTACCATGCGGAGAGACGCCCGCATGTCCACCCACACCGTCCACTCGCTGGCCTCCACCGTCCTCACTCGCGCCTCCAACATCATCCAGATTGCCTACATTCCCGGCATCACCAACCGCTCCGGCCCGCAATCTCCCCAGCTGCTGGTGCCTCCCGTTCCGCCCATCCCCATCATCGTCTCCAACTCCTCCCAGCCCTCCAGTCCCTACTCTCAACAGCACGAAGATTCCCACTACTTTATGCCCGGTGACCTCCGCTCCGTCCGTGGCTCCACCTACACCGGCTACACCGACGTCTCCGACAACAGGAGCAGCTTCCACACCATCAACACCATCGTAAACGACAACCGCAGCAGCTTCCACACCATGCACTCGCGCCAGAGCATCACTCCCAGCCTGGCCAGGAGCAGTGTCGCCACGACCATCTACCGGAACGATGCCGTCGTCGACCCGATGCCGGCCACCACCGTGCTCCGTGGCAAGGCCGCCGTCATAAACGTCAAGTCTGGCAGTCCGCTGGCCACACCAGCCCCCGGCACCCCTCAGGCCCCGTCGGCCGAATTTGGAAGCATCCAACGACCCGCCCAGACGCGCACCCCTTCAAGCCCCTCTCTGACTGCTGGAAACCCGCCACCTTCTTCCTCTTCCGTCAGCGAGGCCAGACCGGTGCCCGTCACGATATCCAAGAAGAAGCCCAGCTTGATCAGCATGAACTCGAGCTCTAGCCTGCTCTCAATCTCACCCATCTCCACACCGCGCCCAAACACCCTCAACTCGGCCGTCTCCATCTCCGAGTCCGACGACGAGCAAAGCTCCATCCGACGCAGTCTTGTCGATGACGGGCGTGCCTCGCCCGGGCTTGCCGACATACCCGGCGACCTGCCCGTCTCCACACACAGCCCCTTTGCCGACATGAGCGCCACCATTCTCTCTCCTCGAACCCACCAGCAGCAGTCCGGCTCCCGCCGCGCCGCCGCCCTCGATCCCGTCACCGAGACGGACGAGACGCGGCGAGAGAGCTCACAGATTGGCCGCAGCCGAAGTCCCTTTGGCGACGAACATGAATGCCCGTGAAGCGCCGTCTGAGATTTCGCACATGGGCACATGGGCACATGACTGGAGTTATTGGTGGCTACGGCGTTGTTGTGCTTGGTCTTTTGGGGGCGGGGGGCCATACTTCTGTGTTTCGAGACTGGGTTCTCGACTTGCCATCTTCTTACATCTACTTTCCATCTTCTCCCATCTTCTTCTCCCATGTCCACTCGACTATCTCATATCCCTTTCTGTTGTCCTGACGCATGAGACGAACACGCACGCCACGACGGATGCCTGGCTGGGCTTGTGCGGCTTGTGCGGCTTGTGTGGCCTGTGTGGCTTGTGCCGCCTGTGTGGCTTGTGTAGCCTATGTAGCTGTCTTGCAGCGGTCTTGTAGCTGGAGGTGTTAATCCTAGAGTCATCGTATCAATATTGTTTAGCTAGAAGACTACTCCTTGGGGTTCTCCTCTTTGAATCATCCCATGTAGCTATCCTGGGTAGATGTAGAAACCACGACTACGACTGATACTGCTACTTTAGAATTGAACTATATGATAATTCAATCTTGCCGCTTACCCTATTCTCTGTAGTATGCTATACTAGACTAGACTCTACTAGTTATAGGAGGCTATAAGAAGTTACATGCTATATAGAAATAGACTAGGCACGTACTTGTAGTATAGCATAGAGTCTAGATGGATTGGAATAGTATAGTATAGTATAGTATAGTAAATTATAGTATAGAGTAAGTAGAGTAAAAGAGTACAGTAGTATATATGTAGGTATATATAAGTTATACAGTATATATATATATATATATATACTAGTATAGAGTGAGTACTAGTAGTCAAGATAGATTCCGGTTTGTGGAGTGTTAGCTATATAATAGAACATACTACTATTAGCTATACTAGAGTACTAGCCCATAGAGTACTAGCCCATAGAGTAAGTAGTAAGTGACTAGAGAGAGAATGAATAAGAGAGAAGATGAGTTGATTGAAAATGTGTGTTTTATTTATATATATATGCATGCATGCTTACTTTGTATCGTTCGTGTTCTTCTATCGGTGTATTGGCATGTCTTCTTCTTCTTCTTCTTCTTCTTTTGCGTCTTCGTTATGTTCTTGCTGTATTCTTGGCATATTCGTATTCATGCGTTGACCAGACCAATACATACCGCCTGGCTCTTAGGTAGGTGGTGCCCCGAGGCTCTGGAATGAGGGAGCTTGTGTATAGAGTATGGGATGGATGGAAGGATGGGATGGATGGGATGGGATGGATGGGATGGATGGATGGATGGATGGGATATGTATGTATATATGCCATGCCATCATAGCGTACATGTCCGGAGTATATAGTAGACAGTAGACAGAGACAGTAGACGAGAAACGAGCGAGGAGAGACGAGAGACGAGAGACGAGAGACGAGACCACACCACGCCACGCCACGCCACGCTAGACGACAGACCACGCCATATACGAGCAATAACACCGTCGTCATCATAACCATCATCACAGTCATGTCCAGCGTCACAATCAAACATCATGCCCATCACAACCACAACCCTCCCCAAATCCCCTCCCAATCCCTCCCCCCTAACAAAGAAAAACCCACCTCCCTCTCTACCTCCCCCTCCCTCCAAACCCCTCAAACCCTCCTCCTCCCCCACACCCTCGCCGCCGTACTCATGTTCGACCTCGACCTCGCCCTCTCCCTCGTCGGCGGCGGCGGAAATACATCGATCCCTACCCCCACGCTCCGTCTTTCTTCGTCTGTATAGCTGTATCTACCGCCACCGCTACTATATCCATCAAAGCCACCGCCACTATATCCATCAAAACCACCCCGCGATTGTGCCGGTGGTGCAGATGGTGCCGGATACACGCCCGCTCTGCTCCATGCATCGTTTCTTTCCCTGTCCCTTTCTCTCTCGCTCTCCCTTTCCCTGCCCCTCTCCCTCTCCCTCTCCCTTTCCCTGTCCCTCTCCCTCTCCCGCACAGCAGCCGCAAACCCCTGCGTCCGCAGCACGGACGGCGGCGAAGGCGGCGAGCACGGTGGACTGGGGAAGCGCATTCCAGCCGTACTCGCCGTGGCAGCCGTAGCCGTAGTAGGGCCAGTAGGCACAGGACTAGTCGTAGCTCGAACAGGAGGAGGAGGCGGATAAGGATGCGCAGGCGTGTATAGACCGCCGTGCAAGAACTCCTCGTGTTTAGCTGTAGTTTTAGCCGTAGTTTTAGCCGTAGTTTTGGCCGTACTTTCAGGGGGCTGGGGAGGAGAGGAAGAGGAGAAGGGGGAGAAAGGGGAGGAAAGGGGGGGAAACGGGCCGGCGCTGCATGTAGCGCAGTACTGCGGCGCAGAGGGTGAGAAAGAAGGGGGATGCGGGAACGACGGCGGAGGAGGGAAAGAAGACGGAGCAGGAAAAGAAGACGGAGGATGCGGAGCCGCAACATCAACAAGCCGGCCATGCACGGCCGCCAACGGCACCCCCTTGCGCGACACAGGACTCATCGAGCGTGTTGTCGTGGCCGTGGCCGTCATCATCGTGCCCAACGCCCCATCTCCATTCCCATTCCCACCCCCACCACGACCGCCATCCCCATCCCCATCATACCCCAACCCACGACGATTCGACCGCCGCCGCTGCTGCTGTCCCCCGCCAATCGACCCCCACGTCCCCCAGCGCGACGACGACAGCGCAAGCGCCTGCCAGAGCCGCACCATCAGCGGGCGAAAGGAGAGCAGACAGAGCGCGATGAGGTAGAAGGAGGATTCCATGACGGAGAGCTGCATCAGCCGCACGGCGGGCCAGGTGCCGTCGGTGCCAAAGTCGTTGGCGAAGAAGCCGACGAAGCGGACGGTGGCCATTATTGTGCCTCTGTTTGGGTGAGAGGGGTGTTAGATGGGGGATTTGCTTTGCTTTGTTTGGTGGTTGTGCTGGGGATAGGGGGTGAGGATGGAATAGGGGTGAGGAAAACGGAAAGGACATACATGCTCCCAACCAGAAACGTAGCCACAAGCCCCAGCTTAACCCTCCCAGCCAGCTTCGTCCCGAGAATAACCGGAATCGGCAGAACCAAGCAGACCAAGTCCGTCAGCAAATTCACAACAGTACTATAGCGCATCCAAGCATTGATATCGATGCACCGGCCCGGCAGCCGCGGCAGCCAGGCCTTGTGAAAGGGCACGCACAGTGCGGCGGCAGGCAGCATACTGCCCACGCAGTTCAGCGCCACGAGCACGCCCGCGACCCAGCACAGGGCGCGCGACACGGGCGCCGTGAAGATGCGCAGGTAGGTGGCGAGGATGGCGAGTTTGGGAAAGGCGACGGCGGGGAGGTAGGTCAGGCAGATGGCCAGCAGGAAGACGGTCCAGGACTTGCGGCGGGCGGTGTCGTGCATGCCCAGCGGCGGGTAGTATTCTTCGTGGTGGCCGATGTCGCCTGTTGCTGTGCAGACTGTTGGGTTGGGGGGATGTGGTCAGCGGAGGGTCTGTATGTGTATCTCGAATGCTCTCCTTACGCACAGGGGGGGATATACACGTACCGAGACACACGGTGATTTGCGCCGCCAGACACAGCGCCGCGCACACCGTGTACGTGTCGTCCTGGCCCCAGCGGATCCGCGCCATGCTTCTTGCCGTGAATCGCAGCGTCAGGAAGACGGAGCACAGGAAGATGAAGATGCCGCACGTGATGTACACCAGGTGGCCGTTGTACTCGTCTATGTATGCCTGCGAGACCGCGCGTGCCGTGGGCGTAGTAGCGGCGACGAGCACCGCACTCGAGACGCTCTGCGCTCCTCCTCCTCCTGTTGCTGCGATCGGACTCGTCGGGCGCGGGCTTGGGCTTGGGCTCTGCGAGACATCGAGGAAGAGCGTGTAGCTCGGCGTGTTGAGCATGGCGGTTTCCAGGCCCATACTTTGTCAGTGTTGATGATTGACACCACGGGGTTCCGCTCTCCGGTTCAGTCAGGTACAGATATCGTATTGGCTCAAGAAACCGTGAGATTTTTGCCCTTCTTCTTCTTCTTCTTCTTCTTCTTCTTCTTCTTCTTCTTCTTCTTCTTCTTCTTCTTCTTCTTCTTCTTCTTCTTCTTCTTCTTCTTCTTCT